TTTGTGTGTGTTGAAAATATTGTTATCATAACAAAAAATGTTAAACATAAAGAACACATGCCAGCAATAAAAATTTATTGCAACAAAAATTATTTTCACTATTCATACTTTTTTCATATGAATTCATGCCTAAAGTAGCATAAATATTTTCTACTTAACAAAAATAAAATAAAATGAAAAGTAAAAAAAATATTTTGCATAACAAACCTAAATGTCAAACTACTGAGTGTCCTTGTCTTGTTTCTCATTTGTGTATATTCGTCCGTCCTCATACTCTTTTCTTTCTGCACAAAGGCATATTTACAAAGAAAAAAAACAAAAAATTCGAAAAGTAGTGTTTCTTAATGCACAAAAAAGTCACGCAAAACTAGCAAATACTAAAAAAAAGATTAGAGGAAAAGTAAAACTAGATGATAAAAGCTATAAACAGACAGCTATTTAGTGTAAGGAAATTATTTATAAAGAGAGCGAAGACGGAATAATGTGTACAATTGTAAATTTGACCACTGTAAACTAGAAACTACTAAGGAAATATACACATAAGCAGGCTAACGTAAAATATATGTACACAATAAGTATATGTGTGAACATTCACAATTACACAACTGCAGGCGTTTACTATTTGAATAATAAACACTAATGCATAAGTTAAATATTATTGTAATTAATGTGTATGTATGTATGTAAGTGTAGCGCGCAAAATGTAGTGAGTAATGAAGCGATTAATGAGCGATTGCATTTTTGTAGTTTTGCACAAGAGAAATAAACAAACACCATAAAGCATTAAAAAAAATATAATTAAATTTAAAAAAAATTAAAATAAAATTAAATAAAAAAACTTAAAATAAGATTAAAGAATTAAATAAATTAAACATTTAAATAGTAATTGCACAAAAAAAAATAATAAAATTAAATAAATTTATTCAACTCGCGTCAAACAGGCAATCACGCGTGAGTGCTAATTGTAGTTGCACCTATACATACATACATAACTAAATGCAAATCACCACTGTAAATACATACATACATACTATAGCTATAGCCGACACTTAGTTATATACGTAATTATATGCGCGTAAATACCGTAACGTAACGTAACGAATTGTGTGAATTCAATTTCAATTAATGAATTTGTAAAAAGTTAAAAAATACACTTAAAAAATTTAATGCAATTAAGCAGAGTAATTGTGTATGTATTGTAAAGTGGAGTATAAAAATTAAAACAGTTAAGCTAAGTGCAAAAAAACTGAAAATGTGTAAGCTATTAATTATAGTTGGCAAGGTGCAGGTGGGCAAAAAGCTTAAAGATCCACAGACACACACACACACACACACATATGTATATGTGGTAATGCACGGTCAGCATATATGTATGTAATAATATGTGCGAATTTTAACAAGCAGGCGTTAAAAATTAATTTTATTAAAGCATATGCAGCTCGTTTTCGCTTGAGAAATTATGAAACACTGCAGAGTATTATTAACAGTTAATTTATTTAATTTACTAATTTTTATTAATGCTGAAAGTTTAGTTTTTTTATAAAGAGGCGAAATTTCGAAATAAAGATTAATTTAAAAATATGGTAAAAGTAAACAAAAA